GAGAGAGAGAGAGAGAGAGAGAGAGAGAGAGAGAGAGAGAGCAAGCACTGCTAAATAAGATACTGACTAACTGGCAATTAGCATGCAATTACCCGTCATGCTTTGCACTATTATCCCACTCGTAATATTAGCATGAAGTACATAAAAAGAAAAGAAAACTTGCCACTTTGCATGCATATTCCTTCCTCCTGGAGTAGGGGTAAGGACTGGCTGCCTTTTATACTAGGGATCTAGCTGTGACCCTCAGGTCGGGGTTTTCTCCCAAAGGATATTCAGCTTTCTTATCTACAATTTGCATCATAAGAGACAAGCCTGGAGATTGTGCACAGAGCAAGTACAGCATGCGCAGAGGCAGGCAGTGCAAGCTTCTCCCTACACTCCTACCCACCACTAATAATATCATCCACCTCTTCTGTAGCATTTTTCATCAGTAGATCTCAAAGTGCTTTATAAAGGAGGTCAGTATAATTAACCCCATTTTACAGATGGGGAAACTGATGCACAGAGATGGGACAGTGGGAAAGCTAGGTAGCACCCTGGTCTCCCTACTCCCAATACCATGCTCTATCCACTAGACCACACTGTGCTTTCCTCTGAATGCCCCATTCAGTCCATGGCCTCTTTGCTGAAGCTACCAACCAAGGGGACTAATTCGTGCCAACTGATCATTGTTTTTGTGATATTGATGCCTACCGAACTGGGCCAAGACCCAGCAAACTCATTTCACATGGGCCACCTGGCACCCCTCGGACAGAGACAGCTTTTGATCATTACTGTCCAAGGATGGAGTTGGATGGATGATCATAAGAATGGCCCTACTGGGTCAGACCAAGAGTCCATCTAGCCCATTATCCTGTCTTCCGACAGTAGCCAGTGCCAGATGCCCCAGAGGGAATGAACAGAACAGGTAATCATCAAGTGATCCATCCCCTGTCGTTCATTCCCAGCTTCTGGCAAACAGAGGCTAGGGACACCATTCCTGCCCATCCTGGCTAATAGCCATTGATGGACCTTCCTCCATGAATTTATCTAGTTCTTTTTTGAACCCTGTTATGGTTTTGGCCTTCACAACATCCTCTGGCAAGGAGTTCCACAGGTTGACTGTGCGTTGTGTGAAGAAATACTTCCTTTTATTTGTTTTAAACCTGCTGCCTATTAATTTCATTTGGTGACCCCCTAGTTCTCGTGTTATGAGAAGTTGTAAACAACACTTCCTTATCTACTTTCTCTACACCAGTCATGATTTTATAGACCTCAATCATATCTCCCCTTAGCCGTCTCTTTTCCAAGCTGAAAAGTCCCAGTCTTATTAATCTCTTCTCATACGGAAGCCATTCCATACCCCTAATCATTTTTGTTGCCCTTTTCTGAACCTTTTCATCTAGTGGTGAAGCTCTGTAACCCACCAGCAAACCCAGGCATATCCAGTCCCACCGCTCCCTTTTCCTGTTTTCATAGCAGAACTGTGTGATTCTGTCCCCCTAGACAACCTGGGACCTAGAGGGGAGGCGTGTAGGTTTTAAAGAAGGTCTCTCCAAGGAGCGTGGGTGTGTGTGTACACACACACATACACAGAGCCATGTCTGCAGCTGCCCTAAAACTGACACTGAAAATTGCAAATTACTTAAAACCATCATCTTTCCCCACCCTCTAAAGAAGAAAAAATATTATTGAACACCGCAGCACCCCTGCAATCAGAGCTCACTGCCACGCCTGCCCGGTAACAGGTGCCCTCGTTATTATGCTCCTTAGCAACAAACACCCTCACAATGCCCCTAGTAATGGTGCCCTCTCTACTCCATCTCTTCAGCAGCCCCCACTCTCGACCACCCCTGCCCCCATTCCCCACTGCTCGCTGCTGCCCCCGACGCCAGAACTGTACAGTGCAGTACACAGACACCACTTGACACTTAGAACAAACCAGCCTCGGAGAAACATTAGAATGGAGGCTATTCCAAGGCTGACAATCCCCCCGCCCCCTGCCCACATCCCCAGCTTAATCCCGTCACTAGCTAGTTTGGTCACAAGGGGGAGCTGCAAAGCTGTCTTGTTTCTGAAATGCAAAGGCACTAAACAAAGTCCAGGGGCAGTGTAGGTGCATAGGGGCATTAGCCTACCTCCCATCCGCTCCTCCCTAGGGGAGTATGTCTCATTTTAGACTCACCTTTGTTTCCCACGTGGACCTGAGGATCTCCCATATCTTAAGTGCTGAAAACGACTGCCAGCGGCCACCTCCTGAATGCAGAATCCTGAATCCAGGCTCCCAGGAAACAAGATTTATGCCGAAGAACCGGTTATCTCTGCACCATTTCAATTACCTACCTCTGCTGTGTTCTCTTGGGTGTCAGCCTCACACTGTGTCCTGCTCTTTGCCCCCAGCAAGATGACATCTGTGCTTAGGGACATTATACATGGTGCATTGGCAGCTGGGTTCACTCCCCCACCCCAACCCCTCTCCACTGCCTCTGAGACCAGATGTGAACCCCCAGACTGGAGCTGCCTGACAAACAGAAGGGAACTGGAGTGAATGTGTTGAATTACACATCTCACTGCAAATCACTGCTTACTGGTTATAATCGTTTGTGATCCCCAGCGGAAAGGTGTGGTGAAACAAAACCATGCCAGGATTGTGCTGCATG